CTTTGTGTTGTCTAGAAAATTAAGTGGCAAATATAAAGTAGGGCACAAGACTTATGCAAGCTACTTTGACTTGGGTAGCCAAGGCCCTATAATGGCACGTGTGAGCCTCAGACACCTGCTGGGATGATGGAAACCAGCCAAGCAGGAGGTGTCCAGCCTGGGACTGCTGTATGGCCCTGCTACCGAAATAATACTGCTTGGCTCTGTGACTTTGTGGTGGCAGAAATAATCCTTTGGCTGTAAGTGCTTGTTGCTGTATCACTGGGTTTCATCTTATCACCAGCTCAAAAATAAAGCTGTCCTCCGAGTGAGCAGATGAAAACTTTCTCCTGTTCTCCCAAAACATACATGGGAATGTTTGTGTTCTTGTTTCCCACAACTCGCTGGCATGGCTCTTTCCCTGCCAAGCTGAAGGCCAGTCAAGATCGTGAAGTATTGACAACAACCACGATGACATTAACCTTTTGCACGCAAGACGCACAGCAAATATGGCTGTGTTAGAGCTTGTAAGAATGAACAGGGATTTCCTGCTGTTTTCAGAAAGATGTCTGCTTCTGTGAGCGGCAGGAGCATTTGGATCTTTTCTATTACAAGTCCTTAATCTTATTGTAAAATGGGCTAGTAAGACTGAAGCCAAAGGCAAATCCCACAGACTCCCAATAGCATACTTTAAATTAGAACAAAACCAGTAGAGTTCCTCACTCAGAGTGGGAGAGATTGCAGTTGTGACCTTTGTTGTTGCCTGATGATGTCTAAGCCTGCTTGCTTTTGATGGCAAGTGCCTTAGAGGAGCAGAGAACCCGGGGCAGGAGGCCTCCCCGCTCTCATCCCAGAAGGTATTTGAATCTCTCATTATGAGATTTTCTCCCACTTGCTTTCCTGGAGTCAGAACCACATGTTCAGATGGAGACGTGTCACGGGATGATCAAACACCCCTGCTTCCTATCCCCGTGTTCTCCCAAATGGCTTTTCTCCCTTGGTGGACACACAGCAGGATGACAGTCAAGTCATGGAGCAGAAGAGGCATGCCAGAGCAGAGGGGGGTCACATCATTCTTTTATGTCTCACAGCATTGTCAGAGGATGCCTTGGAGCCACAATTGCTCCACGTTTCTGAAAGGAGCCTCAGAAAATGAATGGAGTGTATACTGAATGGATAAGCCTGCTTCTTGTGCAAGGTTTCAAAATGTAAATGTGCCCTGCTGTGTCACACCTTTTGTGTGACACAGCGGGGATGTTTCCCAAGGGCTGATAAAGGTGTTGGCTCTTGGCCATACATCAGTTAATGTTTTTAACAATAACCTGGAGAAGAGAGTAACAAGATCATTGACAAGATATGCAGTCAGCAGGCAGACTAGAAGGGCTGATTAAACACAGCGAAGGATGGGTTAATACCCAAAACACTCTGGAAAATATGGAATTGAACCTGAGAAATGTCCAGATGTGAAACCACCAACCTAGAAATGAATAATTCAGACTGGTATGTGGAGGAGTGAGGGTGGGGGTCATTCCAACAATTAAGAAAAAGTTGGAGGTAACTGAATTAACTGAATTAACTAAAAATAACTAAATGGCAGGCAATTAATTGGGAGTGATTTCTATATATCGTGCTAAAGAGGCAAATGACATCTCTGAATTATCAAATACGAGTAAAGAATCTGTGCTTCTGAGTTTATCACTGGTGGTATCACTGCTAAAATAGCATGGCCCATGCCTGAAGCACAGCGATAAACTGGAGAAGGTGCTGGAGGGAACCACAAGAATTGGTCACTGGAGTCTCCCTCTGTTTCATTTATCACGGAGAAGGTCAAGAGTGACTTGATCATTATCTGCAATTGCCTGCTCAGAGAATGGAAATCCGATATACCAGAGCTCTTCAAACCAGCAAAGATCTAACAAGATACAAAGTGTTGCCGCGTTGAAACTAGCAGTAGGGCACAGAAGTCTTAAAATTGAGATTTGGAACTAATTTACCAAGGATTCTGGGGGATTCACCAACAGTGCAAATTCTAAATTAAAGCATTCTGCCTAAGAGATACTGGCTTGAAGCAAGAACCTGTTCAGGGATAGCTAGAGGCTGTTTTATTTTTGTTTGTTTGTTTGTTTTTCTGCAAATAATACTCGAGAGCTCATTTATGAATGGTTACCTTGCACAGGCTGCAATCTGCTAACACAGAGATGTCCACCTCCACCCTGGATGGTTAACCCATAGTGTTTCTCATATCCTACTGTTCTTCCTGGCTACCCAGGGTTGGCTCAAAAGTTTAAAGTGCTTTCTTTATACCCTGAATCCCTTCCAAATAGCCATGGTTAATCCCTGTGATATGGGAAATATTCTTAAGTGTTAAAATAGGAATAACCTGAGTCAGAAAATGGGCAATGACAGTCACATCACTACACCAAAAGAAAGAGAGCACAGCCCCTCCTGACCAACCCCATGCTGCAGGCTCAAAGTTATCCTCTCTTCACAAGGCCCAGACTATCCCATCAGGATCATATCCCATCTACTGCATCCTAACACAGGGGCAGAAGAAAACTTTCTGGATGCTCTGAGAGCAATCCCCATTCTCTCATCCATCCTCTGCTGACAGCACAAAGGTCCTGTTCCACCACAGTGTCAGAAACACCTTGAAATAAATAGGCACAACACCTTACCCCATGAGGAGAACAGAGATAATACATCAGTCATAAAGCAGGTGCTTTGCCTTTATTTTCTGGAGGAAGCTCCAGGGCTGCTCAGTTTGGCCTACAACATCATTTAGCTCCAAAACCCTCTGCTTTCTCTGCTATAAAGAAGCAGGGAGAAATGGTGTGGGTATGTCCATTCAGCAGGCACGTCCCACCATATGGCCAGAGGAATGCCTACCCGCGTGCACGCACACGCGCAGAGCTAACTTTGGCACCCACAAGGCAGCCTGAGACCTTTCTGCTGCGATGCTGCGGCAGCCCCAGGTGGGCAGGGGGCTGGTGAGTCAGTCACTCCTTGGGAGCAGCCTTGCAAGGAGCTTACGATGCACGCGAGCTCTCCAGCAGGCTTCAGGAGTTTTAGTCCTTAGAAATCAGAGAGCTGGTGTCTTCTGAGAAAACCCATCTCCTGAGGAAAGTAGGAAAAGAGAAGCCTGGGGAGCAAAGCTTGCCAGAGAAGAAGTGGTACAGGTTTCCCATTACTCCTGCCGTTTTGTTGTCCCCAAAACTGCATAAAGCACAGGCAGGACCCCAGCTCTGCTCCCACTGGAGTGAACTCCGAAGCTCTTCCTTGCACTACCACGGTCTGACACACGGGCACAGCCTGAGTTTGTCTGGGTTTGGGACTGCTACAGCCACAATATGAGACAACCTCTTCCCCAGAAAAGGAGCTCCCCTACCTACCTCTCTACAAGGTGCCGAGTCCAATTTTTTGTAGCAGCAACAATAAAAAATATTTGCTTTGTACAAGTGCAATCAACACTGTCTCAAAGAGCTAGAGAGGCAGATTTCCCAAAGGTCTTGGGGTGGATACGTGGCCACTGACCTTTGGAAGCAACAAACAGCTGTAACAAGTAGCCTCATCACCTTAGGTGGTGCCATTGGCTCTGGAATGTTTTTTTTTCTGAGCCTTGCTGAGAAGGTACCTGAGCTTAGACAGGCCACAGAGCTCTGTGCATGTAGATGAGCACAGGCTTTAAGGACAGGAGAATCCCAGACAACAACAGGCCACTCTAGATGTGCTGCAGATTTCATGTTAGCAGGCAGATACAGCTCTGAATTCAGGAACTGGCAGTAAAATCTTTACAGTTTTGTCTTTGCCAGTCCTGTGAAATCTGTTCAAGGAACCTTTTGCTGGTCCCTCAAGACCACTCAAGAGATCAGCAAAAATCATCACTTCTATTAGCAACAGAGCAGGAAGGTAGGCAGCCTGTTTGGAGGTGCTTTGGGGTGGTCCCTGCAGGCAATGGGTTGCTTACAAAAGGTTTACTATAGGTGCCATTCATTCATGGCTGGTTAGTTTAGGGGAAGCCTAGGGAATGCTGCATTAATATTAATTTATTGCCAACTGTTTTGCTGGTGTTTTTTATCCATGCTCACCCTCTCCAGTTTGCTGGTTAGGCCAGCCTCAGCTGCATGTCCATGTCCATGTCCAGCTGTTTCTCCCATGGCAGTCTCCTGGGGAATCTGTAGTGCCACTGCTCCCAGGGGCAGCAAGCGCCCTGCCCTGCAGCACGAACTGCGCTGCTCCCATTCCTGGTGGCTATGTGGGTCCTGCTGAGCTGCGAATGGCACCGCATGAAGCCTTGCTTGTTCCTGGGACTCATGCCGATCATTTGGTGCTTGCAGAAGCCCGGCAGCACCTCCCCTACAAGCAGCTGTGTTGTAGGTGTCTGCAGCATACGTGGGTGCTTGCTGAGAAAATGCTTCCCAAGCTGAGTGCCTCTGAGGGTGGATAAAGGGGCTCCTGGCTCCCAAACACGGGTGTCCTCAAGTGCCCAAGTCAGAAACCCGTTCCCAGTCCTGAGAGCTGAAGCAGGTTCCTGGGTGTCAAAGGCAGCAGCTCTGGTGCCTTCAGAGCATCCATGCTGAATCCTCAGGCATCTTCTTCAGGTGGGAGGCAGCCAAAACCAGAGCACTGCATCCCAGAACCAACCTTACTCAGGTTCCCCTGGCCCACAATAGCACAGGGCTGAGGAGCTGCAGGAAAGCTGGCAGCCTAGGCAGGTCCCAGGAGCAAATCTGGAGCAGGGACCCCACACAGCCTTGGGGGACTGGGGGCAGCTTGTGCCAGTGGTGGAGAGCTGAGGTCCCTGAGACGTGCCAGGCCACAGGGAGTGCTGTTGGTTTCAGTAGGGCGATGTGAGTGAGAAGGAGGAGAGCTCTCATCTTGTGAGAGCAAGGAGGCAGCTTGCAGCAACACACATTTAAAATGACATTGATGTGAGAGGGAAAGAGGGAGGTGGGTGTCCAGCATACCTTGGGCAGGGTCACAAATAAGGCATTGCCCAGAGGGTGAAAGCCTGAGCTGAGACAAGAACACAGCAGAGCCTCTCTCTGTCCCAGGCTGGAAGGGTTGCAAAAGGACAGAACCTGCCATGGATGAGGTTCTAAAGCAGCAACTGAAACCCAGCAGCTGCTGCTGGCTTGGATTCATTCTGTTAACTAATTAAATGTGTGCTGGGCCAGGGAGAAGACTCCAGTTTCCCTGTAGCTTCTCTCTCTGGGAGTCTGAGGATGACAGAAAGGGTAGTGGGCTGTTTGCTCCCTCTTAATCCCCTTTCTGAGGGTTTCCCTCCACAGCTGGAGATCAAGGGGTAAGTGTGGTTGCTTCTACCTACGCCTCTGCTCCCCAAGGGCAGCAGCCCCCGCTTAAATGGCTGTGCTGCCTTCAGCTTAATATCTGCTGTGATTCTTTGATCTTGTATTTAAATACAGCTGGTCATAAAGGAAGATAGAAAGTTTCCCAGCTGAGATTTGAGTTCCAGCCTCTCTCTCCTCTCTGTACTATCAGATTTTGGAAGATTGACTATTTCTTTGGCTGATCAAAATAAGGGGAAATAAAAGAGGAGTGTAAATTCTCAAGAACAATTACTTTCAGGTTAGTTTTCAATATTTCTTTTTTATATTTTTTTAATTTAAACTTCAAGCTGGCTTATGTATTCTATGTATTGCATGTCCAGCCTTAATCACGGCAGCAAATGAGAAGCTTGTAATTCTGATAGATTTCCACCACAAGCTCTCTATCTTTCCAGAGACACTGCTCTCACCGCATCCTCTCTCCCATCCTGAACGTGTAACGTGTATTTCTGGTTCCCACATTTATGGCCTGGCATTTAGCTGCATTAAACCAGGGGCTGTTTTATCACATCCAATTTACTAAGTGATATAAACAACACCACCTGATTACCCCACTCTTGTCATTATTTACTGCTTCAGCAGTCTCTCAGTGTCATCTTCAAACTTTATCAGTAACGATTTTCTGCTTTCTTCCAGATCATTGCTAAAGATACAGAATAGCAAGGAGTCCAGGGGAGGTACCTGTGGGACCCAATTAGAAATGGCTGCACTGAAGGCTGATGTATCACCAACAATTATATTCTGAGATCTAGCAGTTAGCCAGTTTTTAAACCCAAGTTAATCATGTCATATTCGTTTGTTAAGTACAAATAAAAACAAAGCCAGGTCGAAAAGACCCAGATTAACTCTTGGCATTGGCAGCCCACTAACAACCCTATGAAGCTTCCTTGTCTTGGGGGGGGGGGGGAGGAAGGGGAACAAAAAAAAAAAACTGTCCCAAGTCTTTCATTTCCAACATGACCTTCACAAGGCAGCATGTTAGTGACATTAGTGTCAGCTTCATTCTCATGTCTCTTTCCTGCTAAGAAGGGTTCAATCTCCTGGTGCCCAAGAAGACGCAGGGACAAGGGAACTAATGAACAATAGAAAGGCACCTTCAGCACCTGCTCCCTTGGGCTTGGTGTTCTTGGCAAGCAGATAAAGAATTTTAGAGGCCCTTGGAAATGGGTGTTGCAACTCTATAAGAAAACCACCCTCCTTCATCTCCTCCATTACAAACAACGCAGGCCCCAGATCAACTATTTATTAAAACTTGTTAGCTGGGAAAACAAGGGGGGGAGGGGGGCAGAGGGGGGTTAATTAAATTAAAGGCCTCTCTAAAGAGAATGCAATTAGGATATTGATTGCAAGAAGTGCCAAGTTAATTGGGCATGTGACACATTGACATTTTTCACAATCAATAAACCTGCAACACCTTCAAAGAAATCTCAAGCAGCACACAACCACATCAGGGTCAAAAATGCAATAAATATCTTGAGCTGATTATAGCCGTTGGTTTCTTTCATGTTTTCTCAATACAGAAAGCTGTCTGACAGGGCAGCTCTTTCCCCATGTGGCTTTAATAAAAGTCTTTGATGGAACCAATGCAAGCTTTTCAGCTTTTCTCTCTCTCCCTTTTTATTTTTTTTTTTCATAGAAGAAATCTTGTCAGCTTCAGTCAGCTTTGCCTTTCTGTTCTCTGCCAATCACCGGGAAGAAAAGGGCTGGAGAGGGCTGGATAAAGCCAATTAACAGAGGTAGCAGAGGAGTGACAGAGCAACTGGTAGTGGTGTCCCAAGGGCAGGCTGGTGCCTGGACACTGCTCCAGATCAAGCCCAGCATGACATCGTATGTGTGCTGGGGAAGAGCCTTGCTGCAACAAGGGATGGGTGCAGTCCAAGGAAAGCCCCTTCCTTTTCTTCCTGTTTTATTTGTTTGGAATGGGCATCCATCCCCCTACGTCAGCCCAGGCTCTGCTTACAGATGCGTCCAGGGAGCCCCCTGTCTTGCAAGGGCAAGCTGCTTTCCAGCACCACCCAGCACAGCAAATCTTGCTAAATGATACCAGTCTGGGCCCTGGCCCTGTTGCAGTGCACAAGTGCCTTTGTGTACGTACGGGAGCTGAGCTGTAGTCTGGCTGCTTTCCTCACCTGAGCCCAGCTCCCCTCCTTTTGCCTCTCCCTTTCATATGGGGATGGCTGGGTGCTGCGCTATTTCAAGATGCTCCAGGAGGACATCACTGAAAGCTGCCAACCTGACAGGGCTGATCTATCTCAGGATGCATATCAGAACATGTACTGAAACACACTCAATATCTTTCTTGTCCTGGGAGGAAAGGGGATTAAGGCTGGCTTTTCCCATCAGACAAATGCTGGGAGGTAGGAGGCGTGGGTTTCAGCTCCCAGAGACCAAGATGAGACTGAATTCAGATCTTCTGCCTCCCAGATGAACACCCTACACACAGTTGGTGGCTCTTCTGTCAAATGTGGTGGCTGTAGGGTCACCATCACCTCCTCAGGAGCTGTGCAGCAATACTGTGAGCTCTGCTCAGTCTTTCAGAACCAGTCACCAAAGCCACCTTAATCCTGCAGAGCAAGACTTCACTGGGAAAGGGCCAGGGGACAGATCCTGAGCAGTGGCATCCTACATCTCTTATTCACTGAGTGCTAAATTTAAAATTGCCCAACTCATTGATGAGGCCCAGAGGTCATGTATGCACAGTGTTATTTGTGAACTAGTGGAAATATAAACCCAGGCTAGACTAACTGCAAATTAAACTTTTCAGCCCTTTAAAATATTTACTAAGGAGACCTGGGCATTTTCCCTACTCTAACAGGATTATTGCCATGGTTAAGCCCATTGGTATGTCTGCTGCTTACATTTGTGACTCAGAAATTTTGTTTCCTATTGCAGTGCTATAGAACTTGCACTGAGAAATTATTGTGCTCTCTCAGAAACATCAGTGAGAGGATATCATAGCCACGACCTAGCATGCAGACACAGTTATTAATTGTCTGTCATTCCTGTTAACCTTATGTAAGACTACACTCGATAATTAACTTGTACAATTAGAACTTGACAGTGCCCATGAAAGAGGTGTCCTGCAAGTGCTGCCCAGCACACGTGCTGCCTCGTTAGTGGCATCACCCAGACCTTCTCTGATCACAGAGTGCCTGTGCTTTGTTTCTCTGGGCTTGACGTATCTCACCTTGTACAGAGGCATCCTACTCCAGGAGTTATCAGTGAGCACAGTCACTTAATTATGATGAACCCTGCAGCCTAATATTAGGAAAATTGGAGGAAAATTAGCTTGCTCCTAGGAGACACAGGCTTAAGCCAGACAGGCTCTCCGTTACCTCCCTCTGCATTGGAGAGGGAGGACAAAATCAGGTGAGCAATTTCCTGAAGCTGCCAAGGGAAAACTCTTGTTCAGGCTCAAGCATGCACACAGCAAGGGCATGGGGGCAAGGGAGGTCACAGAGCATGTCTGCTCCCCTCTCCGCAGCCTGCACAGCTGTGTTGTAGCAGAGTCTCTGGACCAGAGATACTGATAGCCCAGTACACTTGAAGGAGGATGCAGGGGTGACATCTACGTTGCTTCACTCTCATTCCATCACTGGGGGTAAGGAGGCTCTAGTTCTGGTGACAGCCATGTCCCACCCTCAACCATGCAAGAGGAGCCAGAACTCTCCAGTCTGTGCACCCACCATGGAAAATGAGGATTCCTGAGAAAATTCCCAAATGGATGTGACTGCAATCAACATATTCCATCAGTCAAGAATAAAGAGGTTTTCCAAATCCTGAGCAAGGACGACATCCTCCACACAGAAAGATCAGGAAGATGCCGGAGAGACAGAAAGGCAACTGTGCAAGACACCTCTGAGACACTTAATACAAATTGTGTAAGAAGTGTTCAGAAAGCAGACACAGCCTAGGTCTCTGGTGGGATAGTGCCCCCCTGTTGTCTGATAAGCCTAGGCATCATCCATGGAAAATACCTCTGGTTCCTCCTCTGCTGGTCAGGCACTCGTGGGTGCGTGCTCCTGGGTGAACTCTTGAGACTGAAAGTACCCTAAAAGCGGGTGTTGTGGTTTAACCCAGCCAGCAGCTCAGCACCACACAGCATTTTGATTCCCCCCCCAGCCCCTCAGGACAGGGGAATCAGAAAAAAAACTGTAGGTTGAGATAAAAACAGTTTATTAGGACAGAAAAGAAAAGGAAGGAAAATAATAACAATAATAATAATGATAGTAGTGTGTACAAAGCAAGTGATGCACAACGCAATTGCTCACCACCCACTGACCAATGCCCAGCCTAACCCCGAGCAGCCGGTCTCCCCACCCCAATCAACCCATATTAATTGTTCAGCATGACGCCCTGTGGTGTGGAAAACCCCTTTGGCCAGTTGGGGTCAGCTGTCCTGGGTCTGTCCCCTCCCAGCTCCTGCTGTACCCCCAGCCTGGCTGCTGGTAGGACAGAATGAGAAGCTGAAAAGTCCTTGGCTTAGTGTAAGCACTGCTCAGCAACAATTAAAACATCAGCATGTTATCAGCATTATTCTTACCCTAAATCCAAAACACAGCACCGTACCAGCTACTAGGAGGAAAATTAACTCTATCCTAGCCAAAGCCAGGACAGCAGGCTAGAAAGTCTTATACCTACTGCTTTGCAGACCCCTTCTAATTAAAAAGTTTCATTAATCTCAGTGCTGGATAGAGTTCCCTAGGGGTTCCTCTCGATTTCAGCACAATTTGGTGTTTTCATTAATGACCCAGATGATGGAAGAAATAGCTGGCTTATTTCATTTCCTAGATAATGCCAAGTTTTGAGAGACCGCATGTACACAGAAGGACAGGATTAGAATTCCAAATATCTTCATGAATTAGAGAAACAGGAAAAAAAAAAAAATGGAGTTCTGCAAGGAGAAGTGCAAGGGTTCAGATGCAAGCAGGCAAGGGGCTTAGAAGTGTCCCAAAGAAAAATAAAGTCAACAAGATAAAGCAGCACAGGGAAGGAAAAAAAAGAAAAGAAAAAAAAAAGCCTTTTTTCATTCTGGTGTCATGCACAGGATTATCACTTGTAAAAAAAGATACCTTCTTCACTCTTTTCCCATTAAGGTACCACCTGGAATACTATTTTTCTAATTGTCAGCACAGTGCTTTGTAAAAACAGAGGATCAGTTGCAGGGAGTTCAAAAGAAAGTAACAAGCAAGGTCAGGGATCAGGGAAAACTGGTCCCATCAGGCAAGACTGAAAGGGTTAGGCAAGAGAGAAGACAAGACTAGGAGGAGACACAGAAATCTTTGTGAAAAAAAGGAAAACAAATTCTGTCCCACACAGTGGTGGAGACAAGAAACCATAGGATTACATGGCACCTTTTAAGATCAGACATTAGGAAAATGCATCTGCCTGGCTGGTATAGGGAGACAATGTATCTGGACAAGTCAGAGAATCCTTATCACTAGCGGATATAATGATCAGAATTTAAAAAATAAAAATAAAAATAAAAAAAATTAGGAATGACCCAAGGGAATTGATCTTGACCTGTAACAGAATATGGACCAAAAGGCCTTTTTCTATTCTTTTTAATCATATATTATATGAATAAATCTTGTATTTGAGAGTTGGTGGTGAATTAGAGGAGAACTTGTAGTGCCATTGTGCTGAGAGTATATCTTTGGAACTAAAATGGAATAGAGGATATATCATTATATCACAAGCTTTGTAAATGAATGAACACATCCAACACATGAAAAAAACAACACACTTTACAGGTTCCCACATACTTCATGGACTCTGCCATATGGCATCTCCGGACCTCCATTTGGGCCAGCTCAGAAGACTGCCACTTCAGAGAGCAGAGTAT